TGAATAGCACTCAAATTTCAGTTGGAACGTACCTCGAATGCTGTACGAATTTACATAGAATGCATTCTGAACCCTCTTGGAATGACCCCGAATATAGATCGAATATTAAAGAATTAAAATAGAATGCAGCTCGAATATTTCAAATGTCCTTCAAATGCACTTAGAATGTAACACGAATGTCCGAAATGCATCAAGAATGCTGCCGGAATGTTCCACGATGGTGTATAAAAACCTGTTGAATCTTGACCATTCATCAGTCACTGCCCAACTCCCATAGAGTATGGACCATCTGGATCATGTTGCGTTGCTGCAGATTGCTGTCCTCCAGAAAGCCCTGACTGAAAGAGATGTGGAGGAGAGCCAGGAGATTCCAGACCAGACCATGGCTGACAGAGGAAAGGAGGAGGCTGTATGGACATTACACAAGACTGATGGAGGAGCTCAGAGTTGAGGACACGCAGTCATTCTTCAACTACCATAGGATGGAGTCTGCCATTTTTGATTAGTTGGTGCAGAAAGTGGATCCAAGAATACAGAAGCAGGATACATACATGAGAAATGCGCTACCTCGAAGCTAGACATCACATTGAGGTTCCTGGCTTCAGGTGATAGGTACCCCAGCATCATATACAGCTTCCGCGTGGCAAGGAACACAATCAGCCTGATCATCCAAGAAGTGTGTAAGGTCATTGTGGAGGAATACAAGGATGAGGTTATCATCTGCCCTACCACTACAGAAGAATGGGCACCCACTGAAGAGGTATTCAGAAATAGGTGGAATATTCCTCATGCCGTAGGAGTTTAGATTTCAAACATGTGGCCTTTAGGAAACCTGCCAAGACGGCTCATTGTACCACAGCTACAAGGGTTTCTTCTCTGTGGTCCTCATGACCCTTGTGGGTTGAAATTACAAGTTCCTGTGGGTGGACGTTGGTGCTTACGGAAGTATGTCTGATGCTCGGATCTTCAACGAGTGCGAGCTCAAGGATTGCCTTGAAGACGGAAGCATGCCGTACCCCAAGATGACGAGTGTATGCCATGCTGTATTCTGGGAGATGATGTCTTTGGAATAATGGCCTTCTTGATGAAACCGTATGGTCATAGGACTCTCAAAAGAGACGAGAGAATCAACAACTACAGGATCAGCAGGGTGGATGAGGAAGATGAGCAGCACAACGTGGTGCCAGGAGGCTGGGGACAACTTGTGCAGCTTGAAGATGTGAATGATATCTGAAGTTTCAGTGATAGGTGGCTACGTTTTATGCGATTCGGCAGTGTTCTGATGACGTCAGGGCTCATTTGAAGAGCATTGGGGATGTTCTGACTGTATTTGAGGTGTATTCGATATATATTCAAGCTGTATTCCAAGTGCAATCGAAATATTCCGATACGTTTGAGGAATATTACACCTAAATTCCACCAGCAATCGAAATACATTCGAGGCGCATTCGGGACATTCTTGCAGGATTTGAAGAGGCTTGCCTTTTCGATTCTCCCTCGAATACGGTCAGAATGCAGTTAGAATGCAGTAATAATACTTAGAATGCAGTTAGAATGCAGTAAGAATAGATTTTTCCACTTCGAATGTACCTCGAAAGTTTTGAACATGTTCAAAACATTCGGGCATGTCACAAGAATTTACACGAATAGTTGGAGTGCATTCGGAATGGAGTAAGAAGTTTTAGAATGCAGTTAGAATTTCCAGGACTCTCCAGGAATTTTCATTCCGACGGCATTCCGACGGCATTCCGCCTCAAGTTTAAAGAGGGTATAATATTTGGCTCTGTAAAACTTCCGCGAATTAACTCTGACACAAGAGTTTTCGCTCGGGTTGCAAATGATCAACCTTAACATCTAACTAAGCTAAACTTTCAGAATTGGGAATTTTATGTCTGGCACAATCAGCAATATCTACAAACCAAGTTCTACTATGTACAGAAGTAACAGTGCCAAAGCACTGAGTAGGTTATTTGTCATTTCTTTTGTGATACTTTCTTATCATATTGAAATACAAAGTTGTGTGTTTTGTACGACAGCTTGGTGTTTGGACGATGTAATCCGTATCACTCGCTTTCTATCAATGGTTGACCAGTGATTGACAAAAACACTACCACCTTAGCCTCAAGACTGAAATTTCTCTCTTGAACCTTCTTGTCATATTGTACTTTGATCAGGTGGTGGGTTTCTTTTAGATTATCCCAGCTAACTCCTCAAGGTTAAAAAAGTCTGTTCCGAAATGATGAAACAGTCCAACAAACGCATTTGAGAACTATCTTTAAGCCATAGTTCATTCTGTGCGACCAAAGAAAACGTAAGAAGGACTGAAACTCCTGAAATGACTCCCTCGCAGAAAATAACAACAAATGAATTCTTCTCAGTTTCAACATCAGTAAGTCCTATTCATTTTCTTAAGAGTCTCTCCAGAGCTCCTTGAGATTCAGGATGATATGCACAAGGCTTAACCCGAGTTATGCCTAACTGATGCACAGCCTGTTGGAATACATGTAAGTCTGAAATTGGAGCCTTGACCTGCCTGAATAGTCATATACCCCTGGGCCTTGTGAAAGAAAGTCACTGCGCCGTGATCCCGTTCCCTCTACTCAGCAGTCATCGATGTCCAAAACCTTCAATCCAGGGGTGAAACTTCGTCGAGGCGAGAGGTTGTCAAGCTCACCATGTCTCAGCCTGTGACTTGTTGACCTCGGAACAGGTTTCTGGAGACACAGAATGTTCATGATCGCCTGCACGGGATACAGCACGTCAACAGCACAAGTTCAGGGTCGATTAAACAGAAACTAACCTTTAAGAAAACAAGCAGCTAATTAGTTCCTAGCTATGAAAGTTCCGCTGACCAGGCAATTCAATTACACTTGTTTAACCACCGTTAACACGTTGATTCATGACTGAACTCTTTGACAATGAAAATGATTATCTTGCATGGTATAAATGATGTTCATAGAGGGAGTGTCATACTTCGGACAGTTGACACCTACATGGATGGGTAACATACATGGACAATATTTTTGAAAAAGTGTTTTTGCTGTCATGCTAGATATTCACATTGCCTTACAAAAGGTACTACTGACTGTTTGGATAATGTACCTATCTGTATGTCTGAGAAGGTGGTATGTACATGAGCAATGTAACTGTAAGTGCCATCAATGTACATATTGAAAATAATTTAGACTGTTGCACTGATACTCTTCCTTTGAGCACAGACCGTCAATAATTGACTGCACATCACAGGTGCGCGTGCGCGTGTGTGTGTCGGGGGGTCATTGAACGTCATGCAATGCATCCATTTCATATCGCCTCTATGGTTACCTAGAAATTCATCTTTTTTCATGTCAATGCACACACAATTTCCATTGTGGGATTCGGTCTAGTAATTACTAGGTTTTAAATTTGGTCGAGTATATGTAATAATATTCCAATATCATGTGTACAAGTTTTTTTACATAATGTAAGATTCGATTAAGGTAGTACGTGGACGGGGAAAACCCATATCATAGATCTAAGTGATTAGCATACAAACATATTCTTTTAGAAAATAGAAGATGTTTTAAATATCTTAAGGATATTGAAGATGAATTATACGTATTGTTTAAAATTTCACTGTGTATTACATGACGATATGAGGGTGCTATTTTTAATGATTGTGTGAATTTCCAGATTGTTTAGATCCTGCTATGTTTTGTATTCAACAATCCTAATCTTTGTTATGTTTTAGCCAAAATCGCCTTTTTAATCTTCAACAGAAGGAAAACACTGTTATTATACCTATTAATGTTTTGATAATTTTTAGCTTTGTATAATGCTTTTTGTCTCATAATTCTCTTTTGAATGGTTCTGTGCAATTTACTCTTTTGAATGTTTTAATGATCATTTTTGTGTATGTGTGTACAGAAGTGAGACTAGATAACCTATTGTCAGTCTGTCTGTCTAACAGACATGGACGTTCGCCCCATCCGGTAAAAGCACTTGTAGTTACAATACATGTGCATGGACAGATTTTGTGCGTTAATTCTACATCCTGTACAGTAAGATATCAAATGTGCATTGCACTCCCTTTTCCAACACAGCTTTATAGCTTTCTTATAAAGGAAAATCTTTGGTATGTTGTTTAACGGCGCACTCAATATATTTTGAAGAAACAAGACTAGCACGTGGTCAAGATTGAAACATAACATATGTATATATAACCAAGCGGGATTTCCAAATTACAATTTCAAATGGAAGAGTTAGGCTATTCAATGCGAGTAATACACACTGACACCCTGGGTTGGACGGGTGCCCAGTTGTCTAATGTACAGCTTTCGCTGTGCAGGGTTGTTACCTCCCTTAGACCTTTCAGAATCCAGGTTCGCCTTGTTTTTCTTTTTCCACAACCTTGCCTTTGCTTGATGATGTCTTAGATCTGCATTACTTGGGGCTTTTCTCCCACAGTAACAACAGAAATAATGTTCAAACGCTGTTAAACCATACTGGCTCACATACAGTATTGTTTGCGACAAAATATTTCGTGTCACACACCTTTGTAAACACAACACATTGTTCAATCAAATCCTGAAAACAGTTTTATGTTGTAAATACATGGCCAAATAACCTCTGCATCATTTTCTCGGTTTTTGTTCAAGTCCCTGTTATGGCAACTGTCTATCCTCTTGATAAAACCTCAACGTTCTTTGTATTTCTGTTACACACTGAAATATAGTTATAACTTTAGTAAAAGTCCTTTTCATTTTTTTAATACAATTCATTTTGTATGCAGATATAAAGCGTCGGATATATCTTAAGATATATTTACAGAGACAGCACAGTGTACATATGTACGGATCAGTGATATCCGTATCGTCACAATCGCAACGTCACGATAGTTGGAAATTAGCCAAGCACACTGGCGACAGTGGAAAGAGAAGCAGTTAGATATTACGCAATACGGGCGTGCAGATAGCTCCAAATATGTACATGTATAGGTGTGCAGTTGAAAGCCTCCTGAGTCGACCTTTGTAACACAGCCATCTATAAGCCTCTCCAGTCAGTTTCCAGGTATGTGTGTAGATTACTGGTATACATGCCAGTATGTATATGTATGTGTGAAGAAAGTATACTCAAATGTCAGGTAACTAGGTATATTAATGAACTCTCATCTGAACATGAACTAATATCTCTGGACAGCGTTTGTCTGTGCTGAGCGGTAAGTAATGGCGGACCGGGAAGGTTTGATGTTTTGAATAAACTGCATCTTTGGGTCCTTTAGAAATAATGCAACCATTTCTTCTGAAAGCTCATTAACTAATAGATCTGAAACAACATTTTCATCTACCACTATCCAACTGAAATATCAATACACTTTAAATCAACAGTGTGAGTTGCTTCAAAACAACGAGGAATGTAAATATATATGTACAGTACAACCAGAAATTATTGAGAGTTTAAAGATTGTACATTTTTTATTTTTTTAACTCATTACTCACGTATTAAATGTGAATATTAGCAGAACATAACTCCAGATTCAAAGACAGGTGAACAGTTAGCATTTTGTCAAGTCACCATGGGCAGCAATGCAGGCATAAGTTAGAAAATCGTGGTCCATGCTGTCCCAATATCGGACCACCTCTTCTTTCATTTCAGCAGTATTTATCAGATTTTTCTTATTGACACAAGTCCCCAAACATTTTCTATTGGATTTAGGTCAGGGCTATAGCTTGGCCAATCTGATAATGTCATATTTTGGGTCCGAAACCAGGCCTGTGAATGCTTTGAACGATGTTTTGAACGATGTTTTGGGTCGTTGTCCTGCTGGAAAATCCAAAACTTTCGATAGAACACGTGAGCAGATGGAAGTAAATGTTCCTCGAGAATATCTGTGTACCGCTCACTGTTCATATTTCCTTCAAATACACAGAGGGGCGTTGCCCCTAACATAGATATGCCACCCCACACGTTAAATTTCGGAATGTACTTTGGGCGCTATACAAAGGTTTTTCAGTTTGTTTGGTCCAGAATTTCAGTGTATTAGTGTTTTTCCTCAAAACTGTAAGTAAACATATGAAATTTTATTTCATTTCATTCAAATGTTAATTTTACCACTAAATATTTTCAGATTCACCACAAATATGAATCGAATGCAGTGGACAACTCTGGGGATTGTGGCAATCCTGGCAATGGTTGCCTTAAAAGTCGAAGGTATGTGTGCTTGATCCAAATCTTGTTCATAAGGAGCGTACATGGTACACGTTGAACTGTAATTCACACACATAGGATACTTGGTATGCTTAAAGGTTTAGAACGTTCAGTCAGAACCATGTACGTTACAAAATATTTCATGTAAACAGAATGCCTTAACCTAATATATAAATATGTGCATGATAGTGTCTAAATATTGTCATGAAGCAGTTGTCACTTATCATCATATTCTAGCTAACTTTTGAAGACTGGCAAATCACTATGAAATTATACTTAAGTTGGCTACAAACAAGCTAACGGAGGCAGTGTTGGTATTGTCCAAACGAAACCAAATGTTTTGTACATGCAGGTCAACCTTTATGTTTAACCGATACACATGTTTTGTACATGCAGGTCAACCTTTATGTTTAACCTATACACATGTTCCGTACATGCGGGTCAACCTTTATGTTTAACCGATACACATGTTTTGTACATGCAGGTCAACCTTTATGTTTAACCGATACACATGTTCCGTACATGCAGGTCAACCTTTATGTTTAACCGATACACATGTTTTGTACATGTAGGTCAACCTTTATGTTTAACCGATATACATGTTTTGTACATGCAGGTCAACCTTTATGTTTAACCGGTACAAATGTTCCGTACATGCAGGTCAACCTTTATGTTTAACCGATACACATGTTTTGTACATGCAGGTCAACCTTTATGTTTAACCGATACACATGTTTTGTACATGCAGGTCAACCTTTATGTTTAACCGATACAAATGTTCCGTACATGCAAGTTAACCTTTATGTTTTACCGATACACATGTTTTGTACATGCAGGTCAACCTTTATGTTTAACCGATACACATGTTTTGTACATACAGGTCAACCTTAATGTTTAACCGATACACATGTTTTGTACATGCAGGTCAACCTTTATGTTTAACCGATACACATGTTTTGTACATACAGGTCAACCTTAATGTTTTACCGATACACATGTTTTGTACATACAGGTCAACCTTAATGTTTAACCGATACACATGTTTTGTACATGCAGGTCAACCTTTATGTTTTACCGATACACATGTTTTGTACATGCAGGTCAACCTTTATGTTTTACCGGTACACATATTTTGTACATACAGGTCAACGTTCATGTTCTACCGATGGCTGTCTCCATGGTAACGGTGGTCTACGATGTCAATCATGTCAACCCGGGTGTTACGGCTCAACATGCAGCTACACATGTCATGGACACTGCCATACAGACGGCTGTAACAGACAAACTGGCCAATGTTTCAGATGCCAACCAGGGATGTACGGACGAGACTGCGACCAAACATGTCCACTTCAATGTGCCAACAGTGTGATACGCGGGAACGTCTACTGTGACCGAAACACAGGTGCGTGTTCTGAAGCATGTCGACCAGGATGGACCGGTTCACACTGTACTGAATCATGTCCGCCCAACTGCAAACATCAAACCTGTAACAAGCAAACAAAACAGTGTATCACCGGGTGTAAGACAGGCTGGACAGGAGAATACTGTAATACAACATGTGACAACTGTCTGATGGGAAAATGCAACGATAAGGGCTACTGTCTCTTGGGCTGTAAAGCGGGCTTCTTCGGACAAAACTGTGATAGGGGGTGTCCACACTGTTGGACTACTGGCTGTGACAGAGGTTCCGGAATCTGTGAACAGTGTCATCCTGGTTACCATGGCTCCAAATGCACCGAGACGTGTCCCGAAACCTGCTATAAAGGCCGGGAGGGTTACAGAAACTGTGACCGTTACACCAAGGCTTGTCTCGAGGGCTGTGAACCTGGATGGCACGGTTCTCATTGCAACACACCGTGCAGCACCTCCTGTACAGCTGCCCGATGTTACAGCCATGACGGTTCCTGTGTAGATGGATGTGTACCAGGTTTCTATGGCAAACACTGCCACAAGAGATGCATTCATGAAAACTGTAAAAACAACACTTGTGACCACCATGGTCATTGTAAGGAATGCAAAGATGGCTGGTTTGGAGAAGACTGTCAGCGACTTTGCCCAGCACTGTGTGAGTCATGTCTTCGCGACACTGGGCAATGTTCACGGTGTTCTGATGGCTATTATGGTCCTGACTGTGATGATAAATGCAGTGACACCTGTTTGCATCACACATGTGACAGAGATGGCAACTGTTTTGAGTGTAGAGATCTGACATACGGAACTCGGTGCCAATACTCATGTAGCGAGAACTGCGCGAGATGCGACCAGCCAACGGGGACGTGTACAAGGTGCAGAGGAGGACAATCCCTTGAAGACGGCAGATGTACCCCATCAGCATCTGAACATTATACATCCTCGCGGGCAGATTCCGTGAAGCATACGCGATTTAAATTAAAACATTTTTTCTGCATTTTCTTAACACTTATCTGTGCATGCGCTATGACTTGGCGTTGCTAGAAGATAAGTTTCATTATATTCAGTTGGTTCGGTCACTGTTTAGGAGTGCAGTATTGGTCCCAAAATGTCTTTCATCATTATATGACCTATTAACTCGTGTCAGTTTCCGTTTCGACTTTACAAAAACAGTTCAGCTATTCTTAACAGATCGTTATGTTACATTGTTTATAGATATTCAAGCAACATTGTTCGAGATATTGTGCCATCTACCTGGACATTTGACGAGATTATCATCGCTGACATGTATTTTAATTCGTGTGATTGTGCAAAAGTTAAGAGTTATGTTATAAGTTAACTGTTTTTGTCCATTCTGTTGTCTGTTGAAATAAATATATTTGTTGTTTTAATTGTTAATTGTTTCAATTATTTGCAAAGTCTATTAGACGTTGACAAATTGGTAAGCATATCATGGGGCGGTGGGGTAGTCTAGTGGTTAAAGAGTTCGAGGGTCACGCCGAAGACCCGGGTTCGAATCCCCACAAGGGTACAATGTGTGAAGCCCATTTCAGGTGTCCCCCGCCGTGATATTGCTGGAATATTGCTAAAAGCTGCGTAAAATCAAACTCAATCAGTTAGTCAGTTAGCATATTACGACCAGAAAATACTACCATATAGGAGAGTTTTATTAATCGTTTTGCTAAAGGTAGTATGAACTTGAGCAACAATGCGCTGCATATGTAGGTGAGGTCCTCATTTCATATGCTAAATAACATAATCCATGGTTGGCTCTCTCCTTTCCAGAGGAGTCAGACATTGTATCAACATGCGATCACTTTGAAATTCCATTTGTTACTCAAGGGACTGATACTTCAGCTGGGTTGGCATATATTTCTAGAGGCCCTGGGGTGTAATTACAAAGTTAGCAAGAGGACAAATTATCCTAATTTTGCAAATTTGGCCTGGTCTACTGATTGCAGCAGTTAGGGCCTTTGCCATTTATGTGTCGGATAGTTTTGTATTTAGTTGATCAATTTACTTCATGGTCGAAAAAAGGGCATTTTCAACACTTGGACCTTGTGCAAGAAAGCCGTGCTCCCGTTCCCTATACTAATGGTTTACTCGGCAGTCATCGATGTCCAAAACCTTCAATCCAGGGGTGAAACCTCGTCGAGGCGAGAGGTGGTCATGCTCAACATGTCTCAGTCTGTGGTTTGCAGACTTTGCAACAGGTTTCTGCAGACACAGGATGTTAATGATCCAACGAACGGGATACCCTAGGTCAACAACACAATTATAGGATCGATTAAACAGAAACCAGTCTTTAGGAAAACAAACAGCTAATCAGTTCCTAGGTATTAGTGTTCAGTTTACTGACCAGACAATTCAACTGCATATGATGAACCACCGTTAACGCATTAATTAATTGTAGCCACAAATGACTAGCGTAGAAAATGAGTCTAACTTCCTTCCGTACTTTCTGGGACGTGTCTGGGGGCGTCTTTACCAACCTCATGTGAGCATGGCAGATTTCGGGACTTGTCCATCGATAGGTGGCGGGATCACTGGGAATGCCAGAACGCCACTATAGTCTCCGTAAAAGAGTCAAGTTGCCGAGACGGCAGATTGGCGCCAGTAGTTGTGTCGTTTCACTGTATCGGTCGTTTTACGTTTTCTTTCAGAACACGATAAACCTCGTTGCTATCATGCACGTATGGTAACTAACTGCCTCCGGCAGCAAGACATTACCATGGCCAACCATGTGGCCAGATCTTTCGGCAAACTTGTACGCTGAAGTCAAAGGCAACAGGCCAGATTAGCAAAAATGGTCCAGTCCCTGAACTCTTTGACAATGAAAATGATCATCTTGCATTTCTTTAGCTTCTAATGTGACTAGCTTCAAACGACCAAACAACCGTTGTGGTATAAATGATGTTCACAGAGGGAGTGTCATACTTCCCACAGTTGATTGTTGGTAATCTACATTGGCTTAGTCTTTCTGACGAATACCTATCATAGTATTATGGGTTTTGTTAAAAGGGTACGTTTCCTTATTATGATCAGTTAATTGAATTCACTCAAGGCCAAATGATGATACCTATAAGGACTTTTGTCATTTTATATAACGGTCCCTGGCATACAGTCATTACGAAATATAGCACCATACATAACCAGTTAGGTGCAGGGATTTTATTTTTATAGATATTTACATTGCGATACAAAAGGACCCCTGACTGTTTGGATCATGTACCTATCTGTACACCTGGGAAGGTATTATGTGAATAACTAGTGTACTATCAAACTGAGACTTGCTATTCGTCCTTGCTTGTGGCGCTGAGATGATCTCGACATATCATTCTGTGAACTGTATGGAATGTAGAGATGTCTATGTATGTGTATTAAACGAGAGGAACCGAAGATTATGTCTTTACCTAAAATAGTGTACATATGTGATATTTAAACGAACGACCCATTGGCAAGTTTGGTCGAAAGTTCCATAAAAATACTATTTGGGGTAATGTAACTGACAAAACAACTTCAACGGTGACAAAGTTCAAGGCCTAGCATGTGGTGTTATTGCGTTGTACACAATGGGCGGAGCTATAGCTATCTGCAGCCTACGTGCAGTACCTCACCTGCTCCCCGGGAAAATATAGCAGTCCCCAGAAATCCTCCATTAGTCATGCAGCTCTACCTAACGGGTCAAACATTATTGCCTTTGTACTGATAATACGATACAGACACATAAAAAAGACAGACCGTCACGAAACAAACATGATATGCTATTTCTGTTTATTCAGTATTTGAATATATGTTTCAAATATTTCCAGAAACACGTGGGTGCATACAAACTATTTAGGAAAAAGAAATAATTCAACTGTGCATACAGATGTAAGTATGCACATTAATCTTATTAATTTGGGTATTCATTTTGTATGCAAATCATAAAAGAATTCTGGCAATGTGACAATTAAATCTCAGATTAGCAAGACCGTTCACAGGTAACGGGAACAGTTCAACGTAAACATACAGGTCTGTACAATGACACGGGACACAAAGTACATGAAGTTCAGGGGGACTTTGGATGCTGGGCTGCGCTTGATAACTAACAGAGATGAAATTTCTCTGATATGTTGTGTGACAAGGCCAACACTTGTAACAGGTGTATCTAAGCTTGAGCTCATAGCTAAAGATAGCATGTGTGTCTTTTTATCGCTTATGTCAGAGTAGTTTTCCACTAGGCACTATAGATAAGCTCACCAGTCCTGTCCTTGCATGTGCTGGACAAGTAGACGTACACCAGTGACAATTCAAATGTATATGTGTGACTAAGTGACTAAAGGACGACGTTGTATGAAGTCTGCGGGCAACCCTAGATCTTTATTATCTATGTTCATATGCCGAAAGTTGGCTGATGGGCGTTCGGGAGGAGGAAAATGATTCGTGCCGTCATCATCCTCGCTATTCTCAGTGCTAAAGGTAACGTCACTCATTAATTCACTGATGATTTAAATTGTTTTTATGGAGAAATAAAACAATGTCCATAGTTGCACTGTAATTGTTCTTCTATAGATCAGGTTTCCGATGCTTACGACAATGGTTATGAGTAGTTTGTTTCTGCTTCAGAGGCAGAGTCGAGAGATGACTACCATGGCAAATACTGCAAGACTGGGTGTCGGAGTCTACTGAACGGACTCTACTGTCAACAATGTAAATATGGTTGCTATGGCGTCAACTGTACACGCCACTGCAGGCGATGTGACATCAGCGGCTGCGACAGAATGACCGGGGTCTGCTACAGATGCAAACCAGGCTACTACGGCGGAAGCTGCCAGAACCGCTGTCCCCGAGGCTGCACATCCAATGGGTATGAAGACTGTGACCGAGACACTGGAGTGTGTTTACAAGGCTGCAGAGTTGGGTATCACGGCAGGAGATGTGACCGGCGGTGTCCCCAAAACTGTAAGAATTCAATTTGCCTGAAGGAAACAGGTCGCTGTTCGTACGGCTGCAGAGACGGCTGGTGGGGAACATACTGCACAGACTCGACCCCCGATTGTCCGAACTGTGTTCATGGACTGTGTGGGTCAGACGGGAAGTGCAAAGCAAGGTGTTTACCAGGGTTTTATGGAGAATATTGTGAAAGGAAGTGTTTAAACTGCCACACAACTGGATGTGACAAGAATTCTGGAAGATGTGACGAATGTTCTCCAGGGTTCCATGGCCGTTGGTGTAACCTGCAATGTAACAGCAACTGTTATACGGGGCTGGATAAACTCCGTCGGTGTCATCGAGACTCGGGCAGATGTCTTGAAGGGTGTGAAGAACGCTGGCATGGGGACCTTTGCAACAAACGCTGTAGCAGCAACTGTAAAGACTCCAGATGCTTCAGCGATGATGGTTCCTGCGTGGATGGGTGTGAAGAGGGTTGGATCGGACTGCACTGTGATCAGGAATTAAACTGTATTCGAGGAATACATGACAGCGACGGAGAATGCCTCCTGGGTTGTCTCCGGGGATGGACAGGACGAACATGTCATATCAAGTGTCCCTTCTATTGTCGGACCTGTGATGAAGAGACGGGACAATGCATCCAGTGTCCACCAGGACATTTTGGTGCAGCATGTGGTCATGAGTGCAGTCTGTCCTGCAACAACCTGACGTGTGATATGGACGGCACTTGCACACACGGGTGTATAGATGGGATGTTCGGTCACCGGTGCCAACATACATGTCAATGGCCGTGTTCCTCTTGCACCCAGGGTGGGAGATGTACAGGGTGCCTTACCGGGTACAAGTTATTGGGAAGACAATGCATAGACACCGTTCATTTCACCATGGCATCATCAATGGCTGCTTAGAAGCTCTTTCACACAACACAGGTACACGTGGATCTACTTATACATTATATATAAAATGCAAAATTCATATGTAAATGTAACATAGCAAAAATATAAAAGTAGAATCATACTGAGAAAGTGTCGTCCCAAATAGAACATACGTTCATTTAACCATTTTCTAAATGGCATTGCGTATCCATGTTGTATTCATAAGCAAACCATTGCTCGTCAAGAACATCGCGTCGTTTCCTAGTTAACAAAGAAAAGGCAAATCAACATATCGATATATTTTAGTGCAAAATAGACATTTTTTACTTCCTTGTAGGGTCTGTGTTATTTCTTCTGTTACTGTTGTTGTTTTTAGATATGTATGATATCTATGTTTGCAATACTAATATGACGGGTTTTCTTATTGCAGGGCCCATTTTACATGTAGACGCGATGGTACTGTTTTCTGTTGTCCTGGCATCTCTCTACAGCCCGCAGGAGATCGTCACACCTGCACTTCAATAGGGTGTTGGAAGTGGCCGCCAAGCACCTTCATCACAACGTTTGTCGTCATCTCCATG